AACACCATACTTGTCTGTGTGTATGAGGTTCTGTTGTTTTTTCTTGTTTGTTCATTTATTGCTTTCAGTTTTATATCCGTCAAATGAGTGAAATCAAATGGTTCTTGACTTATGCTGTCTGATTTATTTCATTACCATGATATTCTCAAAGTCCATCTATGTTGTCTCAAATGGCAGTATTTCATTTTTTTATTTATTGATTGATTTTAGAAAGAGAGAAGAAGGGGGGTGGAGAGAGAGAGACCAAGAGAGAGAACCATTGATGCGTTGTCCCATTCACCTGTGCATCATTGGTTGCTTCTTGTGTGTGCCCTGGCCAGAGATTGAACCCCAAACCTTGCCGTATAGAGAGGATGCTCTAACCAACTGAGCTACCCAGCCAGTGTCCAGCAAATGGCAGTATTTCACCTTTTCTTGTGGCTGAGTAGGACTTCATTGTGCATATGTATTACATGTTTTGATCCACTCTGCTGCTCTGTACCTTTTTTTATTTTTTTCTCTTTTAATTTTACTGTATTTGTAGAAACTAGCAAAGCACATGTGAACAGGACAATATTTTAGTCTTTTATGAAAAGAGAAAGCTACACCTGCTAGATGTGGTATCAATTCCCTCCTTCCCAAAGTCTTTGCTAGGGGTTGCTTTCCCTTCATTTAGAATGGATGCTCTTGCCTGGCCGGGCTTGGCTCAGCAGTTGAGCATTGACCTAGGATCCAGGCGATCGGGGTTCGATTCCCAGTCGGCACATGCCCGGGTTGTGGGCTTGATCAATGACTCTCTCCTCATTGATGCTTCTATATATCTCTCTCCCTCTCCTTTCCTTTCTCTGAAATCAATAAAGATTATATTTTTTAAAAAAATAGAATGGATGCCCTCCCACATGTCTGGGAATCCTGGATCCTTGATGGCAGGGTGGTTCCAAGCACTAACAGCTGTGAGTAATCTTATCCTCTGAACCTCCAGACCACTTACCTTCCGTGCTCCTGAGACTTCATTGGCAAAGGAGGTACATTTTAGGGTGTCTTTCTGCTTCACAATTGCCTTGTATTTGGACAGAGTGTCACCCCACAGCTACAGGTGAGGTGTCCTGGAGCTGATTATACCACATGACCTCTCTCCACATGTCCTCCCACAGTTGATTGAACCAGACTGGACAGCTGACCCAAGGCAGACCACCTGGGCTGTCTGTCCTGGGAATTCTATTTTGGGTCTTTTTTAATGATGAGTTTAGTACACTTAAATTAAGGGTGACTATTCATGCATGAGGATTTCCTATAGTTATTTTGCCTTTTGTTTTCTGGCAGCTCTGTGTCTCCATTGTTTCTTTTCAAATTAAATTTATTTGGGTAACATTGGTTATTAAGATGATATGTCTCAGGTGTAGAAGCCTGTGATACAACATCTGTATATTACATTGTGTTTTAGTTTGGTGGTATTTTATAATTTTCCTGTTTCCTCCTTTTTTAAGTTAAGTGTCTCAGTTTGGGATTTTATGTGGTTACCATTAGGTTTATGCAGAAGAAAAATTCATGTACACAGTAGTCCTTTTTCTTCTGAATGCATATTATCTCCATTCCCCTTTGCAAATGCAGACTTGCTCCCTGTTCCCTTTATGTTTCCTTGTCACAGGCCGTCCCTGTGTGAGCTCTGATCATATCCGAATGCTGTTGGGGCTCCCCTCCTCTTCTCTGCCCCTTGCAGTGTTTTACCCCCTTGAGGCATTCTGTGATGTTCAAGTGTTTAGTGCCCTATTCTGAAAAGGGGTTGTAATGTCCTGCTTCTGTCTGCTGGTAGGTGATCTTACTCATAGTCTTCTGTCCTTGTGGTGTTGTTTCATATAAAAATGACCCCCTTGAGTATTTCCTGCAGTGGAGGTCTTCTGGTGGTAAATTCCCTCAGCTTCTATATGTTGGGAACAGTATTAATTTTCTCCTTCATATCCAAAGGATAACTTTGCTGATATATTAATCTTGGCTGGTAGTTTCTCTTTTTCAGTAGTGTTTATACTTGATTCCACTCTTTACTAGCTTGCAGGGTTTCTGCTGAGAAATTCAGTGATTGTCTAATGGGATTTCCTTTGTAGGTTACTGCCTTCTTTTTCCCAGCTTTCTTGAGAATTCTTTCTTTGCCATTAATGTTTGACAGTTTTAGTATAATGTGCCCTGGAGAGACCCTATTTGGATTGTTCTGTTTGCTTCTTGGATTTGAGGATCTAGTCTTTCCATAGGTTTTGGAAGTTCTTGTCAACTCTGTGTGTAAATAGGCTTTCTGTTTCCTTCTCTCTCTCGCATCTCCTCTAATATACTTAATATTCTTATATTACTCTTTCTGATGAAGTCAGATAGTTCTTGTAGAGTTTTTCTTATTTTTACTCTCAAGTCTCTCTTCTTCCATCTGTGTCATTTCTAGATTTCTATTTTCAGTGTCATTAATTCTTTCCTCCATCTGGTCAGCTCCATTTCCTAAGCCTGCTAGTTCATTCTTTATCTCTTTTATTGAGTTCTCAATCTTTAAACAGCTAAGGTTTTAATAAACAAATCATTTATAACCACTTCTAATATTACTAATTTTATGAATTATTGATAAAATAGTATAATGTAACTAGATATTTTATTTTTTAATATGTTTTTATTGATTTCAGAGAGAGGAAGGGAGAGGGAGAGAGAGATAGAAACATCAATGATGAGAGAGTCATTGATCAGCAGCCTCCCGCACGCCCCCCACCAGGGATTGAGCCCGCAACCTGGGCATGCGCCCTGACCAGGAATCAAACTGTGACCTCCTGGTTCATGGATCGATGCTCAACCACTGAGCCACGCTGGCCCAGCTCTAACTAGATATTTTAAAAGGTATAATACTTTAGGACATTCAGTCCCCTTCTTATATATGCTTAAGTTTAAATATGCTTAACCTGAGTCTTAAGAGGACAAGATAATTGAGAAACTTACTATGTCATCACTTATGAGAAGTAAAAAACAACTTGCATATCATTTTGTAAGTAAACCAAAAGTAGTGTTGGTTCCCATAGCTAGTAAATAATGGATACCGGCCCTGGCTGGTTTGGCTCAGTGGTTAGGGCGTTGGCCCCAGGAACTGAAGGGTCCGGGGTTTAGTTCCAGCCAAGGGCATGTACCTAAGTTGCAGGCTCGATCCCTGGCCCTGGTTGGGGTGTGTGTGAGAGGCAACCAATCAGTGCTTCTCTCTCTCTCTCTCTCTCTCTCTGAAAACTTTGGGAAGAATATCCTCGGGTGAGGATTAAAATAATGATGATGATGTTGCTCCATTCTCTGGACGTTTGTTGCCTCATTTTTATTTATTCTTTTTAAATATATCTTTATTGATTTCAGAGAGCGGAAGGGAGAGAGAGAGAAACATCACTGATGAGAGAGTCATTGGGGATGAGCCGGCAGCCCGGGCATGTGCCCTGACTGGGAATCGAACCCTGATCGCCTGGATCCCAGGTCAGTGCTCAACTGCTGAGCCCCGCCGTCCGGGCTGTTGCCTCATTTTTAAAATGGAATAATAGTGTCTTCTCTACTATAAGCCAGGTAAATAAACCAAATTCTTAGCTAAGAGATCTATTATCTTTTTAATTCTCACCCAAGGAGTGAGGATATTTTTTCCATTGATTTTTAGAGAGAGAGTAGATGGGAGGGAGGAAGGGGGAATGGGTAAAGAGAGAAACATCACTGTGAGAGAGATACATCAACTGGTTGCCTCCCTCACATGCCCTGACTGGGAGCAGGGATGAAACCTGCAATGCAGATACATGCCCTTGACCTGGAATCGAACCCATGACCCTCCAGTGCACAGGCCAACGCTAACCACAGAGCCACACCAGCCAGGGAAAGAGATCTGTTCTTAAGACCTTTTTTTTTTTTTTAATCTTTGTACTGATTGATTGATTTTTTTAGAGAGAGAGAAAGGGGGAGAGAGAGATTTGTTGTTCTACTCATCTGTGCATTCATTGGTTGATTCTTGTATGTGCCCTGACCCGGCATCGAACCTGCAACCTTGGTGTATGGAGACAATACTCTAATGAACTGAGCTACCCTTTTTTAAAATCTTAATAAGAAACATAAATGCAAATGAAATGACCATTTGAAATTCATATACTTAAAAGCTATGATTTTTTCCCTTTAATTCCAGAAAATAATTTATATAGGCAAAGCACTACTTAAGTACAATAGTTCTCTGATTTGTTTAAGGTCTCTAATCAAAAATCATTTCTAAAATTTAACAACCTTCTGCCTGGCCAGTGTTGCCAAATGGTTGAGCATTGACCTATGACCCAGGAGATTGTGGTTTGATTCCTCGTCATGGCACATGCCTGGGTTGTGGGCTCAATCCCCAATGGGGAGTGTGCAGGAGGCAGCCGATCAATGACTCTCCCGTCATTGATGTTTCCATCTCTCTCCCTCTCCCTTCCTCTCTCTGAAATCAATAAAGACATATTTTTTTTAAAAAAAATTAACAACCTTTCTTCAACATTTCATACCTTCCTTCTCTGCTTTATTTTTCTAACACAATATATATTTTAACTTATTCATCTTTGGCTAAAAAGTAGCTCTTACGAGGGCAGGAATTTTTATCTACTTTTTTAAATGCTATATCCCCAGGGCCTAGTTAATGCCTGATACACAATGGACAACCAATGATAATAAATGTATATTTATTAAGATTACAGTTTCAAAAATCTAACTAGCCAAAAAACAGGGGCCTTTCTTCATACAAGTACTATATCTGTTTATATACACTGTTATTATTGTTTACTAAGAAAATTATTTAAATTGTAGAGGAAGTTTCTACTTATTCACTGTCTTGGTTTTTGGAGCAACATTTGGAAATTTTAGGTGTGAGCTTCCGTACAGTCAAAACCTTTTGTGACATACCGTGTCTCCTTGTGGACCTAGGTAACCTGAACCATGAAGAGCCAAATTTGGTCTTAGAAGATGAAAAAGTACAAAACTTCTTCATTGGTCTTCTAAATGATTTCTCTCAGGTGCTACATATCAAATAGTGATGGAGATTGAACCACAGTGTGATGTTGAAAAGATGTCTGCAGTGATTCAGTCTCATATTCCAGATGCCACCTTGGAAAAGTATACTGAAGCTGAATTATCATTTGTTCTACACAAAGAGGATATGTGGAGGTATAGATTCAGAGAGTTCTAGATGGATGGTTTGGGTGGCCAAAAATTGTTTTTAATTTTCCAGGTTTAGTAAGCTTAGTGAGTAGTAGTTTGGTAACAAGCCAGGTCTCCAGTTACAGCTGTCATTTGCCAAAGTAATTATAGAGAGCAGACACAGGGATGATAGTTCCAACTGGGATTCCCATCCCACCATTGTCATCATCATTGACCTTCAGGGCATGCACTGTTTTCATCTTGTCTGAAGTTATTACTATCTAGATATTCCATAAATGAGGGGTGGCTGCCCTGCACACGGGAAGGTGAAGGCCTTGTAGAACATTGCTCTGCTTCCATCTGACATAAGGTTCCTGGGTAGAACGAAGGAAAGAACACCAGGAGTCACACCCACGATCTAATAAATAGAGAGAGGTGAAGAGAAACACTCGTACCCTAGAAGAGGANAACACCAGGAGTCACACCCACGGTCTAATAAATAGAGAGAGGTGAAGAGAAACACTCGTACCCTAGAAGAGGAACGAAAGGAAGAGGAAATGTTCCACGGGAGCGATTTTGATTCAGAGAGTATATCTGAACCTGCTTGAAAAGTGGGAGCATGGAATGGTATTGAGACAGCTGAGGGAGGGTAAGGGAATGACAGAAACTACAACTGGACATTCATATGTGAACATTCATTCAGCATAGGTAGAAGACAGATGTTTGGGTACTTTAGCACAGTCTGGTAATTATAAATCTGGAGGTACTGAGTGTTGCAAAAAAAAAAAAAAAAAAGTGTTAGAGAAGCTGCTTAAACATATCACATCTACCCACCCTATATCATATGTATACAAATGACATTATCAGAAGAAATAAAGAATAATAAAGATATCATTAAAATTAAGTATAAAATAGGAAATGTAAGGATTTAGAAATAGGTAATATTTTTATCCTGTATTGCCACTAAATATTTTGGACATGAAATGGAGAAAAAGAAAAAGTTTCTGAGAAACAAATGTCTAGTCACACAGATTAATATCAACGCTTTAGATGTGGATTTCTGGCCCATGGACAGTGGATCTAGTATAGCATAAAATGCAAATCATGAAGTTAGGGGAAAATATATTAACTCAAAATGAAGTTTCTTTTAACAGGATAATTTTAAAGCAACTATTGAAAGGAAAAAAACACAATCCAAATAAAATGCCCATAGTCTGTTTATGCACAGAATTATTTACAACAGTAGGTTAGTGCCAAGACTTCGATAGCTTAATTAATTGTTTTTATGCTTTGGGCTGGGTAAAACTCTAAATGCTTTGCACCTATGTATTTACATGAACATAAGGAAGAGACTTAGGATCAATACTTACAACCTCAATGCCTATATTCTAACCTATAAAATATGGCTAACAGAAGTGAACTTGAAATTTATAAGCTGGTTCTTTGAGAAGACCAGTGAATTTAGTAAAACTTCAGTCATTCTGATCAGAAAGAAAAAAGACACAAATTACCAAAACTGAATCAAGAAGAAATTAATTTGAAAATCTATCTATTAAAGACATTGAGTTCATACTTTAAAACATTCCCAAAGAGAAAACTCCAGGACCAGATGACTTCACGGATGAATTCTATCAAATATTTAAAGAAGAAAAATTAGCGATTCTATATAAACTTTTCTAGAAAATAAGAGGAAAGGGAACATTTTCCAACTTTATAAGGCCAGTATTATTACCCTGGTACTAAAACCAGTCAAAGACATTACAAGAATATTATTATTACTATTATTATTCAATAATCTTTACCAGAATATACGGACTCTTAAATATAGGTGAATAGGGGTTCTGTTGAGAAGAAAGAAGAAAGAGAACAATGACCTGGAGAGATGTGAAGAGTTGTCATTGAAAGAGGTTAAGTTGAACTGAGGGATAAATGTAGAAGCAATTATCAAAGCTAGGCGATATTAGATGAAAATGGTGTGCAGCCTTAAATATGAGTGAAAGTTAGAAGATGAGTTTGGAGTCCACCATCTCTGAGGGTAATCACACGTAGACTTGATAGTCCCTTCCTAGGATTGGGAGGTGTGTTTAAGAAGCAGATGGGTCTCTGGAGACCCTTTCAACCTAAAACTGTTCATTTTTCCTGGTAAAACTATGTGCTTATTGGCAATCCTTGAGGTAACTGCACTACAATTAGCAAAACTTTGATACAATTTACTTACTTGATTAAATCTCTCCAGTGCCCAGCTACTACTTCACTAACTCCATTTTCTGTCATTTAATGATTTATACCTCCTGCACTGTGAGAACTCTTTTCCATTTGATGTAGGAATCACATGTGAATAAATTAAATTTTATCAACTAGCTATAGACTTTAACACTTACAGAAAATAAACTGATAATTTTTAGAAAAAGTATATATATCAAAGATCACATACAGTGCAGAGCAATTTGCTAAGGTAAATATCTCCTATTTCCATTTGTTTTACAATAAGCTGTACAGTGAAGAAGAATCTACAGACATTTTCCCATGGATAACAAGGAGTTAGCATGGAGCAGAACAATACTGAAAATTCATCTTTAGAAAAACAGCCTAATTTGAAAATGGGCAAGGGTCTTGAATAGATATTTTTCCGAAGAAGATGTACAGATTGCCAATAAGTACATGAGATGTTCAACACCACTATTCATTAGGGAAACGCACATCAAAACACAAAAAATAACAAAGGTTGGTAAGGATGTGGAGAAATTGGAACCCTGTACATTGCTGTTTGGAATACAAAAACAGAACAAAAGATGGTATACCTGCTGTGGAAAACAGTAGGGAGGTTCCTCAAAAAGTTAAACATAGGATTACCACATAATTCAGCAATCCCACTTCTAGGTATATACCCAAAGTAATTGAAAGCAGAAATTCAAACAGATATTTGTATGCCAGTGTTCATAGCAGCATTATTTACAAAATCCATAAAGGTGGAAACAACCCAAATGTCCATTGAATTAATGAGTAAGCAACATGTATATCCATACAATGAGTATTTTTCATTCTTAAAAAGGAATATAATGTGGACACATGCTACAACATTGATGAACCCGGAAAGAATTACACTAAATGAAATAAGCCAGACACAAAAGGACAAATATTGTATGATCCTAACTTATATGAGGTACATAGAATATGCAAATTCATAGACAGAAAGCAAAAGTGAAGCTGAGGGAAGGGAGGAATGGAGAATTATTGTTCAATGGGTGTACAGTTTTAATTTGGGATTGGAAAGTTCTGGAAGTTGGTGGTCATGGTTGCACAACATTGTGAATGTGCTTAATGCTGCTTCAGTTATATGCTTAAGATGATGAAATGGTAAACTTAATGTTTCATATATAGTACCTCAGTAAAATAATTTAAGATGACAATAGGAAAGAATACAATTGGGAATAAAATTAAGTATTAAATAGAGGGAAAATGTAAGTGCTCATGTTTTTTCTTAAATTTATTGGGTGGCGTTGGTTAATAAGAGTACATAGGTTTCCAGCATAGATTTCTGTGATACACCACCTGTATATTGCAGTGTGTGCCTGCCACCCAAAGTGGAACCTTCCATCACCATGTATGTGACCCCCTGACCCTCACTCCCCTCCAGCCCTCTTCCCTCTGGTAACCAGCCTACTGGTGTCTGTGTCTATGAGTTTCTGTTTCTTTATCTTGTTTATTCATTCGTTGCTTTCAATTTTATATTTCACACATGAGTGAAATCACATGGTTCTTAACTTTTTCTGACTTATTTTACTTAGCATGACATGCTCAAGTTCTATCTATCTCCCTCTCTTTCTCAAATCAACGAATTTTTTAAAAACTGTTGTAAGTGTTCCATCCATGCTCTCACAGATGGCAGTATTTCATCTTTTTTATGGCAGAGTAGTGTTCCATCATACATATATTTTGAATTTTTTATTCACTAGAAAATAAAGTGAACTAAAAAGAGAAAATAAAATGTATCTAGTGTTTTTTCTTTCTCCTCGCCTCCAGGTTTGAAGCTCTGTTTAACGATCTGAAAGAGAACAAAAGAGAGCTGGGCATTGCCGGCTTTGATGCGTCCTTCACGACCATGGAAGAAGTCTTCCTGAAGTGAGTAATAATGACCTTAAAAAAGTGCTCACTAAAACTCTACATCAGCTTGAGGCAAGTCTCACCCTCTTTGCATGGGAGTAAAGTCATCAGTTACGGATGTTTATAACATGTTAACGTTCTGCTAATGTAGTCCTGTATTTTCAGTGGAGAGTGCGTGAAGGTTTTGAACTTGGGCCTTGATGCATGCCTTACTGTGTTAGACGGTTTAAACGTTAGTCAAGGAAAAAAGACAATTAACATTGGTGTCATCCTAGGAAAAGTTAGAGTTCTAATTTAGAGTCTGTACTAGAAATGATTTTAAAATTTTGACCTAACCAAGTTTCCATAATTTATTTAATTTGTACATAATTTTATTGTTGACAGTATTACAGATGTACCCCAATTTTTCCCACCTTTGCCCCCCTCCTCCCAGCCCCTGCCCAACCCCAGGACTTCACCACACTATTGTCTGTGTCCATTGGTTATACATATATGTATATTTGAGTTCTTTGGTTAATCTACTCCTGTCTCCCCCCTCCCTTCCTTCTGAGATATGTCATTCTCTTCCATGCCTCCATGTCTCTAGACCTATTTTGTTCATCAGTTTATTATGATCATTAGATTCCACTTATAAGTGAGATTATGTGATACCTGTCTTTCTCTGCCTGGCTTATTTCACTTAGCATAATATTCTCCAGGTCCATCCATACTGTCCCAAAGGGTACTAGATTCTTCTTCTTTACAGCTGCATAGTATTCCATGGTGTGAATGTCCCACAGCTTTTTTATCCACTCATCTACCAATGGGCACTTGGGCTGTTTCCAGATCTTATCTATTGTAAATAGCGCTGCTATGAACTTAGGGTTGCATATATTCTTTCTGATTGGTGTTTTGGGTTTCTTAGCATATATTCCTAAAAGTTGGATCACTGGGTCATAAGGCAGCTCCATTTTTAATTTTTTGAGTAAATTTCACACTGTTTTCCACAGTGGCTGCTCCAGTCTGCATTCCCACCAGCAGTGTACCAGGGCTCCCCTTTCTCCACACCCTCGCCAGCACATGTTGTTTGTTGATTTGTTGATGGAGCCATTCTGACAGGTGTGAGGTGATACCTCGTTGTGGTTTTAATTTGCATCTCCCTGATGATTAGTGATGCTGAGCATTTTTTCATATGTCTCTTGGGCATCTGTATGTCCTCTTTGGAGAAGTGTCTATTCAGGTCCTTTGCCCATTTTTTAATTGGATTGTTTGTCTTCCTTTTGTTGAATGGTATGACTTTCTCATATATTTTGGAAATTAACCCCTTATCAGATGTGTCATTGGCAAATATGTTCTCCATAAAGTGGGCTCCCTTTCCATTTTGAGGATGGTTTCTTGTGCTGTGCAGAAGCTTTTCAGTTTGATGTGGTCCCCCGTTTATTTTTCCCTTTGTTTCCTCTTGCCCTAAGAGATGGATCGGCAAACATATTGTTATGAAAGATGTCTGAGATTTTACTACCTATTTTTTCTTCTAGGATTTTTATGGTTTCATGATTTACATTTAAATCTTTTATTCATTTTAAGTTTATGCTTGTGTATAGTGTAAGTTGGTCGTCTAGTTTCATTTTTTTTGCATGTACCTGTCCAATTTTCCCAGCACCATTTATTGAAGATACTCTCTTTACTTCATTGTATGCTCTTGCCTCCTTTGTCAAATATTAATTGGCCACAAAGGTGTGGGTTTATTTCTAGGATCTCTTTTCTGTTGCATTGATCTATATGCTTGTGTGTTTGTGTGTTTTTTCTTTTTTCCAGCTTATTGCATGAAGGAGTTACACTAGCCCAAGTTAAAAGCAGACCCCAAATGGTTACATTATACAAGCTGTGAGGTTTTTAAACTTGTGACAAGGGATAGAAGGGAAATTTTACTCATTGCAAGGAAATCCTCACTTAAGCTTCAGTGAGCCAAAAGCACTTTAAAATCCATGAGCCTTCAGCTGGTCCTCCTCAGCCATTCCAATCTCTGCAAGGAACTGGCATGTTCTTGTGCTGATCACCTGCAGCTGAATCACTTCTCCATATTCTGGATGCTCAATTACAGGACCACTGCAGGCATATTTCTTCTTAAAAGCCTTCACTAGTTTCTCTTCATCATAATCATCAGTGATCCCTTGGACAGTAGTAAGGGTCTTCTTGCCATTTCTCTGTTGAATTCTTATATGGATATAACCCTCAGTGCCAGCAGGAAGCAGATCATCACCCTTACTTGCATCAGCAAAGGGGTCAAAGGAGTGGAGGTTCTGGGTAGCAGACATACCCTACGATTCCTTTTCCTCTGTGGAAAGGGCCTGCGGAAGGCTGCGGCGGGGAGAAGGCAGGCAGAGGGGATGGAGCATCGGGAAGCTAGGGGGGCTGAAGGGGAAGGTTGCTGAGTCGTTGGTGGCAGTTCAGTCACTGGGGCCTATATGCCTATTCTTATGCCAGTACCAAGCTGTTTTGCTGTGTAGAAGCTTTTTAGTTGTATATAGTCCCATTTATTTTTGCCTTTACTTCCCTTGCCTTTGGCATCAAACTCATAAAATCTTCTCTAAGACCAATGTATGTACTTAGGTTTTTTCTTCTATGTAATTTATTGTTTCAGATCTTATATTTAGGTCTTTGGTGCATTTTGAATTAATTTTTGTACATGGGGTCAGACTGTAGCCTGATTTCATTCTTTTGCATGTGCTTTCCAGTTTTTCCAGCACCATTTATTGAAGAGGCTTTCTTTTCTCCATAGTATGTTTTTTGCTTTGTTGTTGAAAATTATTTGTCCGTATACTGATGGGTTTATTTCTGGGCTCTCAGTTCTGTGTCACTGGTCTGTGTGTCTGTTTTTCTGCCGATACCCTGCTGTATTGAGTGTTGTTGTTATGCAGTATAATTTGAAGTCAGGTAGTGTGATACCTCCAGCTTTGTTCTTTTTTCTCAGGATTACTTTGGCTATTTGGGGTCTCTGTGGTTCCATACAAATCTGATGATTATTTTTATTCTGTTTCTTTAAAATATGTCATTGTGGGGGTTTTTTACTTGATTTTAGAGAGAGAAAGGGAGAGGGAGAGAGAGACAGAGACAGAGAGAGAAACATCAATGTGAGAGAGAAACATAGATCTACTGCCTCCTGCATGCGCCCTATTGGGGATCAATCCTGCAACCCAGGCATGTGCCTAAAACCAGCAACATTTTGGTGGATGGGTCTACACTCAACCAACTGAGCCACAAAATATCTTTGGGATTTCAGTGGGGATTGCATTAAATCTGTATATTGCTTTAAGTAATATGCACATTTTAACTATGTTGATTCTTCCAATCCATGAACACGGAATATCTTTCCATTTCATTGTGTCTTTTTCAGTCTCTTTCAGTCTCTTTTAATAACAAGTTGTAGTTTTCAGTGTATAGGTGCTTTTACATCCTTTATTAAGCTTATTTCTAGGTATGTTATTCTTTTTGTTGCAATTACAGAAGGAATTGGGGGGTTTTTCTGAAATTACATTGTTAGTCTAAGGGAATACAATGGAGTTTTGTACATTGATTTTGTATCCGATAACTTTACTGTATTTATTGTTTCTAAGAATTTTTGGTTCAGTTTTTAGGATTTTCTATATAAAGATCATGTCATCTGCAAAATGTGACACTTTTACTTCTTAGTCCCTATTTGGATGCCTTTTATTTCTTTCTCTTGCCTGACTGCTCAGCTACGCCCTTCAGGACTGTGTGGAATAAGAGTGCTGAGAGTGGGCACCCTTGTCTTCTTTATTTTTTCATTATGTCAAAATACACAAAATGTAAAACTCACCATCTTGAACATATTTAAGTATACAATTCAGTGGTATTACTTTTACAATTCTGTAACTGTTATCAATATCTATTCCTATAACCATTTTCATATTGTAAAACTAAAAATCTATACCATTTATTAAACAGTAACTCCCCTTTTTTCCCTACCTCTACTCCAACCCTTGGCAGCAACAATTATACTTTCTGTCTTTATTATTTTTTCTACTGTAAGGACCTCATATAGGTGAAATCATACAGTATTTGTCTTTTTGTCACGGGCTTATTTCACTTAGCTTAATGTCCTCAAGTTTCACCCATGTTGTAACATATTGCAAAATTTCCTTCCTTTTTAACATTGAATAATATTACATTGTGGGTATATACTACATCTTCCTGATCTGCATTCTAACTATTGAGAATAATACTGCTGTGAATGTGGGAGAGAGAGGGAGGAAGGGAGAGGGGGAGAGAGAGAAACATCAATGTGAGAGAGACACAATTGGTTGCCTCCCACATGCACCCTGACTGGGGCAGGAATCAAACCTGCAACCCAGGTATGTGCCCTTGACCAGAAATTGAACGCCTTGACCCTTTGGAATGCAGACCCACACTCTAACCGCTGAGCCACACCGGCGAGGGCTCTCTCTTTTCATGGTGGCCATCCTAATGGGTGTGGTGGTGTCTCGCTCTCGTTTTTTGCTTTTTTGTTTTTTATCCTCAGCAGAGGATATTTTTTCCATAGATTTTTTTTTATTTTAGAGAGAGTGGAAGGGATAGGGAGAGAGAGAGAAACATTGATGTGAGAGACACACATGGACTGGTGCCTCCGTCACACATCCCAACAGTGGCCAGGCTCGAACCTGCAGCCAAGGAACATGCCCTTGGCTAAAATTGAACCCAAGACCCTTCTGTCCAAAGGCTGATGCTCTAACCACTGAGCCAAACCGGCCAGGGCTCTCACTATAGTTTTGATTTACGTTGCCCTCGTGATTAGAGGTGTTGAATATCTTTTCATATGCTTGTTGGTTGCCCATTTTTTAATCAAGTTGTTTCTTTTTTGTTGTTGAGTTTTAGAATTTTTCTATATACTCTTTTTCTTTAATTTATCTTTATTGTTGCAAGTATTACAGGTGTCCCATTTTCCCCCCAATTGACCCCCTCCAGCTCATTCCCACCCTCTAACCAGGCCTTCATCCCGTTATTGTCAGTGTCCATGGGTTATGCATATATGCATATAACTTCTTTGGTTAATCTCTTCCCACCCTCCTCCCCCTTCCCTCTATCCTCTGAAATATGATCGTCTGTTGCCTGCATCAGTGTCTCTGGATCTAGTTAGTTCATCATATTGCTTTGTTCATTAGTTTCTTCTTAAAGAGAACCCTTCAACATTTCCTGTAGTGCTGGTCTGGTGGCGATGAACTCCTTTAGCTTTTTCTTATCTGCGAAGCTCTTTATCTGACCTTCAATTCTAAATGATAGCTTTGCTGGGTAGAGCCATCTTGATTGTAGTTCCATGTTTCTCATCACTTTGAATATATCATGCCACTCCCTTCTGGCCTGCAAAGTTTCTGTTGAGAAATCAGCTGACAGGCGTATGGGTGCTCCCTTGTAGGTAACTAACTGCTTTTCTCTTGCTGCTTTTAAGATTCTCTCTTTGTCTTTAACCTTTGGCATTTTAATTATGATGTGCTTTGCTGTGAGTCTCTTTGGGTTCCTCTTGTTTGGGACCCTCTGTGCTTCCTGGACTAGTAAATCTATTTCTTTCCCCAGGTAGAGGAAGTTTTCTGTAATTATTTTTTCAAATAGGTTTTCAATTTCTTGCTCTCTTTCTTCTCCTTCTGGCATCCCAATAATACGAATGTTGGGCCTCTTGAAGTTGTCCCAGAGGCTCCTGTACTATCTTCATATTTCTGGATTCTTTTTTCTTTTTGCTCTTCTGGTTGGGGGGTTTTGTTTCCTCATGTTCCAAATTGCTCATTTGATTCTCAGCGTCCTCTACTCTACTATTGATTTCCTGTAAATTATTTTTCTCTTCAGTTCATGTAGCCTTCATTTCAAATTGGTACTTTATTATGTTATCAATTTTCTGTTATTTTTGTAATACTCTTACTAATATGGTTGAGCATCCTTATAAACAAAATTCTGAACTCTGTATCTGTTAGCTTGCTTGGATCTATTTCATTTAGTTCCTCTTCTAGAGATTTCTTCTGTTCTTTCCTTTGTAACATGTTTCTTTGCCTCCACATTTTGTCTGCTTCCTGGTGTTTGTTTCTCTGTATTAGGTAGAGCTGCTGTGTCTCCTGGAATTTGTAGCGTGGCTGTGTAATAGGTGCCCTGTAGGGTCCAGTGTCTCAGCCTCCCCAGTCACCTGAGCTGGGCCTTGTAGGTGCTCCATTGTGTGGACTGTGTGCACTGTCCTATTGTAGTTGAGCCTTGGTTGCTGTTGGCATCACTGGGAGGATTTGACACCCAGGCCAATCACCTGTGAGGACCAGCTGTAACTACAGCCAAAGAGCTGCTGTGCTGGAGACCCCCCTGTGGCGCAGGATTTACTTCAGTGGAGCTTTATTGTTCACCAAGTGCACCCCTTGAGTGTGTCACTCGTGGATGTGGTAGGGTTGTCATCCAGCATGGTCAAGTCTGACCACCAGGTGCACTGTCTCTGGGGCTCCTGGAGGTGCAGAGTCAGCCTGTTCCAGTGCCTTGCCCAAGGCCACCCAGCATGAGCTACACAGCAATCCATAGATGGCTTCTTCTTGTGCTGGGCTTGGAGGTGTCCAGGAGAGGCCACGCTGTGAGCCAATGCAGGCTGCCACTAGTGCCAGGCCTGGGGCCACTTATCAAGCCGTATGGGGCCCGCTGCTGCTTGTTTGAGAGATTTTAGGAAAGTCCTA